TCTGGTCAGGGCACATGGGTTGTAGACTCCATCTTCAGTAGGGGATGTGCAGGAGGCAGCTGAACAGTGATTCTCTCTCATCATTGATTTTTCTATCTCTTCCTCTCCCTTTCTTTCTGAAATCAATAAAAATACATTTTAAAAATTATTAATAACAACTATATACACACTCTTTTGGTAGTCTTCTTATAAATATTAATTATAATTCAGTGGTGTGTTTTTTTTTTTCTTTTTTAAGTTGTATGGTTGAACCAGACTATGTAGTTGAACTGAATAGTTTGATTGTGATACCTTAGTCAAATGAGGAAAGCCATATTCAAGTCACAGGATGCAAAATCTATTAACATTCACTGTCAAACCCATGGCTTCAATATCTGCTTTTAGCATTTCTAAGTAATCTTGATGTTCTTTCTGCTTTAAATAGTCTTCACCATTTTACTTAATAGTATAAGCTTTTATTACTTATTATTTGTTCATGAATCATATTGAATTCAGGTAATAAACTTGTGCTATTAATTAAAATGTTGCAAAGAAATCCACTATGTTCAAAGATTTGTGGAAATGTTAAGCCCATTGCTGGCCAAGGTACTTCATTTGGAATTGGCAGTACATTGACAGAAATTTTATAATAATTTAAAAGTAAATTCAAAGTATGTTTTCATCTTTATAAATTCTTAGCCGAGGACATTTTTCCATTGATTTTCAAAGAGAGTAGAAGGGAGGGGGAGAGACAGAGAGAGCAACATTGATGTGAGAGAGAGACATCGATTAGTTGCTTCCCGTATGCGCCTGTAACCAAAGTGACTGCCCTTTATTGGACTCAACCCTGGACCCTTCAGTCCACCGGTCGATTCTGTAGTCACTGAGCCAAACTGGCTAGGGCTAATCTATTCTTTATGAAAAGTTAAATGTCACTTTCTTTGAGAATTACCTTTTTGGGGATAAAACATGAAGGAAAGGCTAGAATATATTTTTCAGTGTCTCAGTTTAAGCACCTAGATGTTCAGTACTCTCTTTCCTATAGTCCAGTGATCCCCAAATGTTTCAAACCTGGTAATATGGCTTATTAGAACCTCTTTAAAGATCCTGATTATAGCTGAAACTGGTTTGGCTAGTGGATAGAGCATCGGCCTGCAGACGTGAGGGGTCACAGGTTCGATTCCAGTCTAGGGCATGTACCTTGGTTGCGGGCACATCCCCAGTAGGGGGTGTGCAGGAGGCAGCTGATCGATGTTTCTCTCTCATTGATGTTTTCAACTCTATAACTCTCTTCCTCTCTGTTAAAAATCAATAAAAAATATATATATTTTTAAAAAGATCCTGGCTATAAAGGATCATGGTCAATTTTTTAAATTTGGGCAGTTTTAATCATATTTCTAGGTACTATGACAGTCTAAAATAGGGCCTTTGGAAATCTATTTTAGAGAGTTTTCCTTAGTGATTGTGACAAAATCAAACCACAATTGGGGTCATTGTTATAACTAACATTCAACCATTTTATTAGGGTTACTTATAGTTCTGCAACTAAAAATAGTTTTTTTCCCCCTGGAATCCTTCACATATAGGGTTTACAGAGTAATAATCATTCAAGAAGTATTTATTAAATATCACATGTTTCAGAGGATGATACTTTAGGGTGAACAAAAAAAAGACAAGTCTTCACGGAGTTTTTATTTCAGAGAGTGAGCCACACAAAATAAAGCAGGGAAAAGGAATATGAAATGTCAAGTGTGAGTTTGAAATATTAAATGACATAGCAGTAGAAGATCTCACTGAGAGAATGACTGGTGACTTTTGATTAAAGACACTAAGGAAGTTAACTATGCAGATATTTTAAGGAGGAAAACCCCGAGGCAGATGGTTTAAAATGCAAGATCCCTAAATTGTGACTATTCTTAGCTTTTTTGAGGAACAGCAAGGAGGCCTATATAGCTGGTAAAAGAATGATGGAAAGAATAATAAGCAATGAAGTTAAAAAACACACACAGTAATGAAGGCCAGGTCATGTAGGGCAAACCTTGTCTGGTGATCATTGGTCAAATTCAGATGTATTTTGAAGATAGAACTTTCAGGATATATTGATACAATGGATGGAATACATGCTGATGAGTGGAATATGGGGGCTGAGAGAAGGAAAAGGATGACACCTATATTTTTGGTCTGAGTAACTGTCATTAATTGAGATAGGAGAGACTGCATAAAGAATGCTTTGGAATGTAATATCATAACTTCAGTTTTGGTCATTTTAAGTTTATAATGGTTATTAGATATCCTAATATCTTCTTAGGTGTCACGAAGGCAGTTGGATATGAGTCTAGAGTTCAAAGCATGGTCTAAGATAGATATGTAAGATTGGGAGTCATCAGCATATAGATGGTACTTTAAACCATGAGACTGTGTGGGATCACCAGGGGGACTAATTGTAGATAGGAAGTTTGAGGGTCACATTATTATTATTATTATAGAATTACTATTTTTTTAAAATACGCTTTTATTTATTTCAGAGAGGGAGGGAGAGATAGAAATATCAATGAGAGAGAATCATTGATTGGCTGCCTCCTGCACACCTTACACTGGGGATCGAACCCACAATCTGGGCATGTGTTCTGACTGGGAATCGAACGGTGACCTCCTGTTCAACCATTGAGCCATGCCTGCTGGGCTGACAATTATTTTTAAGAAATCCACACTCTTAAGCATTCGAGGCTAAAGGTTTATTAGATTGTCAACTTTTGCTGAAACCGGTTTGGCTCAGTGGGTAGAGTGTCAGCCTACGGATTGAAGGGTCCCAGGTTCGATTCCTGTCAAGGGCATGTACCTTGGTTGCGGGCATATCCCCAGTAGGGGCTGTGCAGCTGATCGATGTTTCTCTCATCGATGTTTCTAACTCTATCCTTCTCCTTTCCTCTCCGTAAAAAATCAATAAAATATATTAAAATAAAAAAAGATTGTCAACTTTTAAATTGTTAAGAAAAAGTGTGTTATTTAATTTTATATACATACACAAATTATAGAGCTAAACATCTATGTTGCCAACTAGGTACTTGGAACACCAAGATAAATGAAATAATCTTATACTTGAAGAGCTTACATTTAAAAAAATATATATATTTTATTGATTTTTCACAGGAAGAGAGAGGGATAGAGAGTTAGAAACATCGATCAGCTGCCTCTTGCACACCCCCTACTGGGGATGTGCCCACAACCAAGGTACATGCCCTTGACCGGAATCGAACCCGGGACCTTTCAGTTTGTAGGCCGACGCTCTATCCACTGAGCCAAACCGGTCCCGGTGAAGAGCTTACAATTCGAGACACTGCTAATTATTATAATACATCACAAAATGTCCTCTGAAATAAGTATTAAAGTATTAAACTATGTATCAAGAGACTTCAACATAAATGTATGTTTTTTTTTAACCTCACCCTAGGATATTTTTCCCTTATTGATTTTTAGAAAAGAATGGAGGTGGGAGGTAGCAGGGGTATACGTACAAAACGATGTGAGAGAGAGACACATTGATTGGTTGCCTCTTGCACACTAACTGGGGCCAGGGATCGAAACTACAAACCAGGTACATGCTCTGAACGGGAATCAAACCTACAATTCTTCGGTGCATGGGCCTACATCCTAACCATTGAGAAACACTGGCCAGGGCCAACATGCATGTCTTTTGACTTGCTTTTTCACTTACAGATATTCACAAAATCCAGCCTCCAGAAATGATCCACAGTGCACAAAGTAGTAAGCACAAAGATCTTTAAAGCAACATTTTTCATATTAGTTTAGAATTTGAAACCAACTTACATTTTAACAGTTTGGGAATGGTTATATAAATTATAGTAGAAAATTGCCATAGCCAGTTTTGCTCAATGGATAGAGCATCAGCCTGTGGACCAAACAGTCCTGGGTTTGATTCTGGTCAAGGACATGTACCTTGGTTGCAGGTGCCTCTCTGGCCTGAATCCTGGCCCGGGCCCTGGCCCAGGCTCATGCAGGAGGCAACTAATCAATGTGTGTCTCTCACATCAGTGTTTCTCTCTGTCTTTCCCTCTCTCTTTCACAAATATCCTCAGGTGAGGGTTACCAAAAATTAAAAAATAAAATAGATAAAAAATAAATTATAGTAGCAAATTGACAAATGGTTTAGCCATAAAAAATTATTTTACATGAGGTTTTTAATCACAAGTTTAAATACTTATGGTCTAATATTAAGAGAAAATAGCAGGCTATTGAGTTTAAAAAAATAAAGTTATAGGATGAACTCAGCCATGTAAAAGCAAATCATTAAAAAAAATGTCTTAATATAACATACACATACAAGTACACAAATTTTAAGTGTACAGCAGCGTGAATTTTCAAATTAGTCTTGTCTTTGTAATCAGCACCCATATCAAGGAAAGTTACTTTAGAATTTTGTTTCTAATCTTTATAATAACATCTTTCAAAAAGAAGTATTTGGTGTTTTTTTTTATTTTTCTACAGGCAAGTATCAATTGAAGAGGGAGAGAGGAAAGCCAAAGAGCTGAATGTTATGTTTATTGAAACTAGTGCAAAAGCAGGATACAATGTAAAGCAGGTAAGTGTTCTTGGAGTATTTACCAAATTGAAAACACATATTATGAAATAACTTGAGGCTGGGTGCACGAAATTTGTGCATGGGTGGGGGGGGTGTCCCCTCAGCCCAGCCTGCACCCTCTCCAATCCGGGATCCCTTGGGGGATGTCTAATTGCCAGTTTACAGGATTGGGCCTAAACTGGCAGTTGGACATCCCTCTCACAATTTGGGACTGCTGGCTCCTAACTGCTCACCTGCCTGCCTGTCTGATTGCTCTAACTGTTCCCCCCGCCCCCCACCTGATCACTCCTAACTGCCTCTGCCTGCTGTCCTGATTGCCCCCAATTGCTCCCCCTTGCCGCCTGATCACCCCTTACTGCCCCCTGCTGCCGGCCTGGTTGCCGCTCACTACCCCTCCTCTCCTCCCCACCTCCCCTCCCCCTGCTGGCCTGGTCACTCCCAACTGCCCCCTTTTGCTGGCCTGGTCACTGCTCACTTCCCTCAACTGTCCGTGTGTCCGTCGTGTGTGTCTCCCCCCAGCTTGGTTACCCCATGCAGCCTGCTGTTCAGTTGTTTGGTTATACCTCACTAACCTCCCTGCTGGCCTGTCCCATGCAGCCTGCTGTTCAATTGTTACTGTGAGGGTGTCCTGACCAATTTGCATATTACCCTTTTATTAGTATAGATTGTGCGAGTATTCTATTCTCTAGTGTAAGGTTTTCTTTCTGTTAGTAACAGTAGGCCTCACAAACTAGTTTATTAAACAGTGAAAAACATAAATATGTGTTTTTGTACAAAGAGAAAAAGACTTACCAAGCTAGTTTTTGGACAAAGAAAAAAAGACTTCCAAACTTCAAATCGTGCACAGGAAAAGTACTTTATTATGATTGTAAGATTGTGTGATTGCAAGGTTGTAAACTCACCATCCTCTCACTACTTCCCTGTTGCATTGTTTCAAGGTAACATTTCTTATTTTAGAGTTTGATAGTAAGATTATGATAAAAGAGAGCAAATATTGCTGTCAGGAATGGTATATTGCTTATTGTGATGAAAGTACATTGAGATTATTTTACTCTTAACAAACTACTAGTGTGTTAACAGTGATTATAAAAGGAGTGTTGTGGGGGGGGGCAGGAAAATATCTGGGGACCTCACATTGTCAAACTTTTCTAAAAGATGAAGTAGCCAAAAACTCACCTGCTTAATTCTTCAGGGCTATATATAACATAGAGTAGTAGTTGAAGATTTATAGTATTTACAGTCTAATAAATTATTATAATTATTATTTATTTTCACCAAGGATTTTTTTTAAAAGAAACATCGATCTGAGAGAGAAACATTGATCAGTTGCCTCCCAGATGCACCCTAACTGGGGATAGAACCCTCAACCTGGGGATGAGCCCTGACCGGGAATTGAACCCAAGAACCTTCAATGTATGGGAAGGAGTCCCAATCAATTGAGCAACCCTGGACAGGGCTAAATTATTATTTTTTATTCTAGGTAATCAGTAGAGGGTTAAAGTAAAATCCTTTAAAATGAGTAAGTAGTGCTTTACGAAAAACTGTCTATATTGTTTTCATTTTGGACACTTTTATTTATTTATTTATTTATTAAAATATATTTTATTGATTTTTTACAGAGAGGAGGAGAGGGGGGTAGAGAGCTAGAAACGTCGATGAGAGAGAAACATCGACCAGCTGCCTCTTGCACACCCCCTACTGGGGATGTGCCCGCAACCAAGGTACATGCCCTTGACCGGAATCGAACCTGGGACCTTTCAGTCCGCAGACCGACGCTCTACCATTGAGCCAAACTGGTTTCGGCAAATTTTTTTTTTTTTTTTGGACACTTATTTCCCATCTCTCCTTGCTATTAAACATTCTATATAATAAAAGGATAATATGCAAATTTACTTAACAGCAGAAAGACTGAGAATGGCCACTTGCTATGATGTAACTCACCATAAGGGGCAGATGCTCAACACAGTAGCTGCCCCCTCGTGGTCAGTGAACTTCCACAGGGCAGCCCCACTCAGCCAGAATCTGGGTTATGGCTGGTAGTGGATGGAGCCTCTCCCACCTTGGCTGCAGCGCTAAAGATGTCAGTCATTCCCCAAGGGCTCCCAGGCTGCCAGAAGGATGTCTGACTGCCAGCTTAAACCCGATACCCCCAGGAGCAGGCCTAAGCTTGCAGGTAGAGGGATGTCTGACTGACAGCTTAGGCCTGATTCCCTGGGGAGCTGGCCTAAGCCAGCAGGTGGACATCCCCTAAGGGGTCCCGGACTGCAAGAGGGCTCAGTCGGGCTGAGGGGACCCGCCCCTCATGAGTGCAGAGATATTTTCTATGAAGTTCTTTACCATACCTTCAGGCTATTTTAGTGATAAATGACTCTCTTCTGTGTTTTTACAGACACCTGACCCCTGTCATAGAATTTACCACATTATATTGAAATTACCTCTTCCATCAAAGAACTTACCACATTATATTGAAAATATCTCTTCTATCAGAATTGTATATTCCTAGAACATATCAATGTGTATGAAATTTAGCACGTGATAAGTAACTGAGCCTATAGGAGACATTAACAAAGAATTTGAGTAATAGAAGTTACTACAACATTATCATATGTTACTGTTCTAGGACAAAGCAGTAGGTAGCTTCATCTAGTTTTCTCTATTATAGACATTTTAATAAGGATTTAAACCAGTTTATTATATGTCAGAGTATGGCCTTTCCACAGAACATATTCCTGTCTGGGTTAAATCTAAAGCATTTGATCTCCCTAATCCTAATCTTAAGTAGCCTCATAGTTTGAAAGTTCTAAAATCATCATCATGACACTTAATTCCTTCTAAATTTAGATAACTCCTTAACAGCTTTAAGTGTAATTTACATCCATACATTTCACTTATGTTTTTTTTTTAAATATATATTTCATTGATTTTTTTACAGAGAGGAAAGGAGAGGGAGAGTCAGAAACATTGATGAGTGAGAAACATCGATCAAGCTGCCTCCTGCACACCTCCCACTGGGGATGTGCCCACAACCAAGGTACATGCCCTTGACCGGAATCGAACCTGGGACCCTTCAGTCCACAGGCCAACGCTCTTTCTACTGAGCCAAACCGGTTAGGGCCATTTCACTTATTTTAAATGAACAGTTCAGTTATTTCTAGTGAATTTACATTGTGCAATCATCAGCATAATTTGATTTTTAAATCATTGTTATCTCTAGACACATAATTTTTCCTAAGAGCCTGAACCTACAGGCAGATGTAGCTAGCCATACAGCTAGAGGTCAGGGTGGAATTAATACCCCTTTTCCAGAAAGAAAATGTCCTGGCAAGGATGCTTCAGAATGCCTATAGAAAGTGGATGCTTAATAAATACTAGTGTGAGGATTTAAAAAATGTTACCTACTGTACTAACCCATACTTTATCCTGATATAGCATACGCCTCTGTTAGTAGTATATCATTGCCATTTAAGAAATGGTTTTTTCTTTAATGATTATTTAAAACAACTTAAATTCCTGCCAAAACTGCAGATTGAAAGGTCCCAGGTTTGATTCCAGTCAAGGGCATGTACATTGGTTGTGGGCACATCCCCAATGGGGGGTGTGCAAGAGGCAGCTGGTCGATGTTTCTCTCTCATCAATTTTTCTAGCTCTCTATACCTCTCAATGCCTCTCTGAGTAAAATCAATAAAATATATATTTTTTAAAATAAAAAATAAAACAACTTAAATTCCTATATATATTATTTCTGTAAGAATAGAACTTGGCTTTTGTAAAGCATTTTCTTGATTCAATTTGAGATGTCCTGAGTTTAGTAAAGGTTAGTGACATTGATTCTTTTAATTTAATTGAAATATTTTGAAAGAGCACTAAATTTTTAAAAATACATTAGTTGCCGAAACCAGTTTGGCTCAGTGGATAGAGCTTTGGCCTGCGGACTGAAAGGTCCCAGGTTCGATTTCAGTCAAGGGCATGTACCTTGGTTGCGGGCACATCCCCAATGGGGGGTGTGCAGGAGGCAGCTGGTCGATGTTCCTCTCTCACCAATGTTTCTAGCTCTTTATCCTTCTCCTTTCCACTCTGTAAAAAAATCAATAAAATATTTTTTAAAAAAATACATTAGTTAAAAACTATAGATTAAAAGTTTTTGTCATAGAAAATGGATTAAGTTTTTACGTGTGTGATTTGTTTGTAATAATATTTTACAAAACAATTTCTTCTTACCCAGGATTTTCAGCTTTGCGCAGTATGTTTTTAAAAAAATATTTTTTATTGATTTTAGAGAGGAAGAAAAAGAGAGAAAGATAGAAACATCAATGTTTAAAGAGAATCATTGATCGGTTGCCTTCTACCCACCTCCCAATTGGACAGTGAGCTCCCAACCCGGGCATGTGCCCTGACCAAGAATTGAACCAAGACCTCCTGGTTCATAGGTCGACGTTCAACCACTGAGCCATGCTGGCTGGACTAAATAGGTATTTTAAAATGCTTTCATTATGGTAAGGTCTACATAAGGAATGACCTATAAGCCATATCCTTGAACACAGCATTTGGTAGTCTTCCACCTTTACTTGATGCCATTTGTTAAATTTTCCCTGCCAATTATCACATTTCTCTCTTTTCCACAGCTCTTCCGACGTGTTGCAGCAGCTTTGCCTGGAATGGAAAGCACACAGGACAGAAGCAGAGAAGACAGTATCCTTCCTGTTTCATCGGAGAATGTTGTTGTTATCACTAGTCTTGACAGCTCCACTTGGTTGGCTAAGGAATATTATGCCTTTTATAGTCAAAATAGATGGTGAAGATCATAGAAATTATGAGGGGTTTTTTTTTTTTTTAATAGCAAAACTAGTGGCCTGGTGCACAGATCTGTGCACATTGAAAGGAAAATAATTAGAAGAAATATTTTAATATTGTTATTTGCCCTTTCTCCCTCAGTGCCTGGGAGCCTGGCCCCGCCACCCCAGCCACTCACTGCCTTCACAGTCAATAGCACGTATCGCCCCGTTTCCACCCTGTCTCCCAGGTGCTAAGGGAGCAGGGCGGAAGTCTCGCAGCCCCTGTTGGTTGCCACCTGCGGGGGCCCAATTGCCAGTTGCCCTGCTGCCATCTGGCTCCCAGGTGCTGAGGGAGCCAGGTGGCGCCACTGCTGCTGGTCGCCCTGGGATCGGATCAGCAGGGCATCTGGTTGTCTGGCTCCCTCAGTGCCTGGGAGCCCATTGGTGGTGGGGCCATCAGGTCCCCACCCCGTAACTAGTGGCTCACACCCACCCTGGCCTGGCTCCGCCCACTCACCTGCTCCACCATCCTGCCCTGGTCCTACTGTTCTTGGGGCCCATCTGGACCTGAGGCAGCTCCACTGCCACCTGCTGCCAGCACAGCATTGCCAACATCTGCCATGTTCCATGCCACCCCCTGGTGGTCAGTGCACATCATAGCAAGCAGTCAAACTCCTGACAGGACTCCCCGTTGAGGGGACAATTTGCATATTAGGCTTTTATTATATAGGATGAGATCTGTTATCCAAGTGTATACTTGCTCCCCTGCTGCTCATTACAACTAATCAATGAGAGAATTTGTATTTGCTTGCTTGATTGATTATTTTTTTTTAAGCTTTTATTTATTTCAGAGAGGAAGGAGAAAGGGAGAGAGAGAAATAGAAACATCAATGATGAGATTACACTGGGGATTGAGCCCACAACCTGAGCATGTACCCTTGATCAGTATCGAACCTGAGACCCTTCAGTCTTCAGGCCGACACTCTATCTACTGAGCCACACCAGCTAGGGCTATTTATTTATTTTTAATCTTTATTGTTTAAAGTAATACATATATCCCTTTTCCCCCCCATTG